TGAAATTTGGTAGCAATACAACATACAGTACAGAAAATATTTGCACAAAACAAAGGGGTGAAAATTTGTGGAGATGGGTAAGGAATGCCACAGACACGGTCCTTATTCTTTGGAATCCAGCACTTCCTAGTGATCATCCAGAGCCACTTATTTTCTCTGTCTCGGTTGTTTTTATTTGTTAAAGACCTCATTTAGAAATTCAGAATTCATGAAATTCTTCTGTCCTTTTAGCACATATTTGTGCATCCAGTCACAACACAAGTTTGGGTTACTTTTGTATAAATTTGTGAGCAAGAGATTGATCATAAACAAATGGTGCATGTTGTCTTTCTACCTGCAAGGTTTTGAACAGCATTGTGCAAATCAATACTAAAATAATACCAAAACTTTCAGCTTTATCATCGATTCTTAAATCAAAATATTGATACTTTCATGCGTCAATCCTTCCAGGTAACATATATAATGAACAGAAACACATCAGAAAGYAACTAAACTTTTGAAATCTTGTGTAATGCATGCACGGTCAATGGGAACTACTTTTTCTTCCTCCTGGGTGAGTAAGCCTGAGGCACTTGCTCAGTCAGTCACCCAGTCCTGTTCAGTATTTTCATGYTAACATGATAATGTAATGTCAATTAAGACGCAAGTTTTCATTTATAAAGTAGCCTTTGATAAATTAGCAATAATTTTTTATTTGAAGTTTAAGTTTTAGTATTTAAAACATAATTTTCACATATTTTGTATGATTGTGTCTGTGTTTTATTTTTTATTTTTGTATTAGTTCTGCTATATTATAAATGAGGATGCTACATCTATACACTTCTAAGTTTAAAATGAAAATACAGTATTTGCACAAAGTACCAGGATTGGATCAGAATTATCAACACCAGGTTTGAGTTTTACTGTGCGTCTGCATCGGAAAKGAAATCAATGGTRTCAAACATCGCTRGCTGMGACGAGATTGTGATGACACGTTGATTTYCCCCCAAGTAGTAAAGCAAACCTACATCCTACAGTAACTAAGTAAATAGAAAGTTTAGTTCAACCAAGAGCTCATACACAAGAACGTAGCAATCTGATCATGTCCTCTCGTTTTAGAAATATCCTGAGGGAAAGCTTTTAATGACATCTTTAACTTCCCTCATTGCCTGTYGTGAAAAGATTTTCTGATGCAGTTCTGCTACCATGTAATTAACATTAAAATGATTCATCAGATACTTGTCAAACTCTCGACAACCAGTGGTTATGTCAGGCACTGTTCTAAAAACGATGGCAGAGGGGCTCAATTACTTCAGACGGAACAAAACCACTGTCTCCAGCGCTTGATGCGTGGCCTAATACCGCATGATTTGATTATTCTGCCCAAGCAAACACATGCAAATTGCGTTTCAGTTTGAAGTTGTTAATTTCTATGCGTGCTGATTAAATGTAACAATATGACACAAATATGTCTGCCAGGTACTTGTGCGGTTCTCGAATCAAGCCCATGGAATAAATGTATTCTTTTTGTCCAAACTAATCTAAAGTCTGAACCTGCTCTCCACGTGCTCTTTTTTTTTTTTTTTGCTCTTAAATAAAAAGCAGCCCGAGTTAACCTTGGAGCCCGTTTTACAGAGTGAAAGGAGATAAAACATGGACCCGACCTGGTTGCTCACTCTGCCATCCAAGCCTTTGTTTTTCTCACAGTATGGATGGCCATCTGTCAGCCTTACCCAGAGAGAGGCAATGATTTTTGCTCGCCTGAGTGAACACCCAGGAAAGCAATATTTCACGTGTTAGCACAGAAAAAAAGACCTGTCTCAGGGGATTTTGCCTAYTGGAGTGATGTGGTGGTGAACATCAAGAGTGATAGTGCTGCCTCAGAGACGGAGCCTGAACTGCAGAAGGTCTGGTTTACTCGCAATGGAGAACTTATCCGAGGTCCTGGATGTTTCATGAATCCACTGCTTGTTGCGTAGCATAAGGAAAAAATAAAATGCATATATTTGTGCAAAACATGCCACAACTGGTTAACCTTTTTACACTTGTTTACAACTGACAAACTGTTATTTCTCTGTGTCCTCAGGAAAGATCCCAGTGAATTTTAAACATGTTTTACAAACTAAAAGCAAATAATTTGCAGCTTGCTTCTCTRTAGCATAACAATGAAATATGAGTTTGTTTATGTGCTTTAAGCACTGCTGGTTAACATTTGTGCTCCCAAGGAAGAATCACTTAAAGGGTGCTTGTCACCATTCATTTCACATTGCAAACAAAATAATATAGCTAAATCCAAATATATTAATATATGTAATATTCAAATTGTGCCAAGCAGCTACTGATCGAATTTCAACAGACTTTAACTTTCTTCTAAACTGAAAAACCTAATACTGTAGTAATTTTGGCAGATCAAAAGTTATGGCCCAGACAAGATAAAATGTGCAGACTTACAGAAACTAGACCATTATACGAGGTTGTATGTTCCGCAGTACCTATGTTGTCCAAGAGTTTATAATTAAAACCATGAAAGATGCCTCGCAAATGATGTTTAAAACAAACATTAAAACAAGGTATGCACAAAAGTTTAATTTAATACCTTTTTTAATACTACCCTAATATGTTTTGAAACCAACACAACTTCAATTCCCTGATGCCACACAAACATCCTCTAAATGCTGAATGTGTATGTCCATCTGTTCTTTTTTAAACATGTATTAAAGCTTTTGTTACAACTGAGAACGAACGGTTCAGCTTTGGGCCATCACCCCACAAACCAACACACACATTCAATTTTAATTGCAGCATATTACTGCAAGAGAACAACTGTAAAGGCAAATTTCTATCAATCAAGCACATTCAGAAAACTGCAGTTTCAAGTTATTTCATACTGACTCGAATCACAGGATTACTTGTGATATATTTTTCAAATATCACCCTTTGAATTTAACAATAAATCTGCAAAAACACCCTTCCTGTCTCAACCTTTATCACTAAGCATCAGTGTGCACATTATAGTTGTTTTAGGTTTAAAAATGACAATTTATGAACTTTCTTGTGGCTAAAAATACTTTATATTAAAAACCATGACTGAAAAACTATACAAACAGAATCTATGTAAAAACTGTAATTTTTATTTTGTTTTTGATCATGCATTACATTTACATAAAGTCTGTAAATATATAAACATTTTAGCTTAAATTCCAATAGCCTGTTCTTAATGCTTTAAATAAGGTGTAGGATTTAACTCTGTATACATTTTACCACAAATACATAAAACTGACTTCTTCTTAGTTACCTGTTAGAATAAACCAAACAGTCATTTTGTTTCAGCCGTTTGCTTTCTGTTCATGAAGTTATTTGTCAAATTATAACTTCCTCCCAAGGTCACAACCTACAGTGAGGCTATAACTCAAATATCAGACAATTACGGAGGCCAATGATCATTTGAACGGAGTAATGAAGTAGAGAAACTGCCTACGTCAGGCCTTATTAGTGCCAAGCAGGACGCTTTAAAGAGTGAAGAGTCGTTGGCCGACAGGATACAATTAAATGAACGATTATTAACGTCTCTTAGGAAAAATAAACAGAACAAATTATGAAACAATAAAGACTGTAAATAGTGTCACTCATTCAGTCATGCAACCAAGTTCTGTTTGACATTACTCAGTTTGGTAATGAATCCTACCAATAAACTTTCAGATGAGTTACAATTAAGAGAGCATTTTGTAAATATATGTTAATCACACTGATTGTTTTTCTAATCTATAAATATTTAGGTAAATAAATACAGCTCTGCATTACAAATCAAGCAGAAGTTGATGAAAAGTACTAACTTCTAGTTGTTGAACCTTGTCAAATTGCATCCCTTTAGATGCCATTCCTTCCACGGGCATGTCATTTTGTTTCTCACAAACATTTCCTCTTCCCCAGTATGGCACTTTGGATTTCCCCTCTTTATCTAAATTATGCATCTTGTGTGAAAGTACAAGTCTGAATTTACTGGCACTGGGCTAATAGTATTCATTAACCTTTGTAACGGTGAAATGTTTGATTGGAATGTAGCATTTCCTCCTTCAAAGGCATTTTGCATTCCCTTTGCAATTCAGATACTTCAAATGAGTCATTAAACGCTATTTTACTTCAAACGTCCAGTTTATGAATGGTAAGAAGTGTACCTCATCACATTTAACATGCACCGAGACAAACATGCACGCTAGCAGAAAGGGGGTGATGTGTTCCAGGGGTGTCACAAAAGCAGGAATGTTATTTTGAAATGACAGACATCTTACACTTAMTGAGCTGTATTTGAATATAAGCATGTTATTTGGAACAGAGCTCTGAGGAATATTTATGTCTTATCATCAGTCTTATCACCAACTAATTACAGCTAAGAATTAATGAGTTAACAATCAGTTCCGTTTGAAAGTTTCATTAATATTAAACTATTGAGAAAATGTTGTTTTCCTTTATATGTAATATCAATGTGACTTGTGTTAATACCATTAAAGATACCATTTCATGGTTTTCTGCACACATGGCATGATGGGTAGAGACCATTTCGTAGTTACTGTAGCTCATATGTGAAGAGGCCAAGTATGAAGCTGTACGTACAGAGACACATGCAGAAATGAGCTGCTAATGCTATATTTGCATTAGCTCAGACTGTCAAAACAGGTGTTTCACTTTTAAAGTTTGCAACTAAACCTTAATTTGCATCAACAAGTTTTGCAAACTAGAATTTAAATGATTAACTCACATCAGTTACAATCAGAGTTGAACCAATGGTTCCTTAAAATTACAAAACATTAATTAAAACTGCCTCAAAATAATTCTGACATTTCCTGTGTTGTTGATGAATATATAAATAGAGAYAATGTTTTGTTTAGGTGTTTTTTTAATTACAGAAAAAAACCTGATATATTTAAAATAAATTATTTTCAAGAAACATTCTAACAAACCTGAATTTGTTTGCTTGGCTGCATTTAAGTGATTAATTTTTAAAGTTCAATACTGCACCTGCTTGCTCTCCTCTAGAGCCTGCATTATGACCATCACAATCAGGTGGTGCAGTTCTGGACCAGAATCATCAGTGCGACAAAGTAGATCGAAGCGACCCAGGTGTTGACAGAGAAGTTGTATGGAGTTGCCGGTCTGCACGGCATTGTCCTGAAACACACAGAGAAAAATGTTCCCTCATTGTGAGGGAACTCAAAACATCTGCATCTACAGAATTTAAAGCAGGTGCTCATAGTGTAAGCCCAATATAAAACTCTCACAGCTGGTGGTTCTGTGGCTGCATGTGTGAGTGCACCCATACCTGAAGGATCCCACTCTGGTTTTTGCCTGTTCAAGATGAGGAGAGCCAAAAATAATTCATTGAAGTTATAGTAATCTAAAAGGACAGGTTGTCCATCCAACATGCTGTTTGACACATAATATACAGGTGGYGTTTTTTCTGCAAATCAGGAACTTATTTATGTAGGCACAAGTTATAACCTCTAAACCTCATAAAACCAAACTTAGACTGTGTAAGGGATATACATCCTCTTATAAAAAAAGGTTATGAGGAATTATTTATCGCAAGTTCTTTTATTTTCAGGAAATATCTTCTTTATGCAAAATTGAATGACAAAACACAAAAAGTGAACGTGACTCAGTGAATTTTGACTTTATCCTATAATAAATGCGATAATTTATTTACACAATCAAACAAAATCATGAATGTACACTTATTTGTGAGCTTAATTTCCTATATAGAGTTAGAACAACAAACATTTATGCTTAGATGTTAATAAACCATTTGTTTGCGGCACTTTTCTTAAGGTTGGCATGTTTAAGAGAAAAAGAAGGAGGAAGAAGAGAGATAAATAGTTTTAAATTTATCCTTAAAGAATGTGGATTTTACCAGAGAGGGCAAAGGTGTCCCAACGAATCCAGCCAGACATCAGGTACACTCAGTAACGGGCAGCCATTACCTTGGCCGAGGACAGAGGAGTCATCCACCACAGTTCAAGTCGAAGGGAAAATCGTCCAGTTGGGGTGAAGAACTCTCAGAACCTAGGGTTGGGTATTGAAAGGTTTTGTTTCGATACTGGTACTAAATCAATACTTTCAAAACAGTACCGGTTCCTAAACAGTATTGAAATCGGTACTTTAAAAATAAATAAATAAAACACACACTCACACAGTCTATGAAGCAATGATTATTTTAGAGGCAAAGTCAAACTTGAAATTGACCAACATATTAACATAAAACTAGAGATCGACCGATGCAGGTTTTTGAAGTCCGATACCAATACCAATTTTTTTTTTACATCAGTCTAACCGATACGCCGATATGTGCAGCCAATTTTTTTTGGGGCTGATTCTTGAAGCCGATACTGCCTTTTCTTTCTCCATTAACATGATAAAAATAAGAATGATAACAAATATTACACAAGTCAATTTAAAACAAAACAAAAAAAACATTTATTAACTGAGCCTTGTCTGATGCAGGCTGAGTGAAGTGCTTCCACAACTAATTCGACCTTCGGAGGCCCGGCCTGCCATTTTGGGCACAGCCTTAGACAGTTAAAACACATTAAAAGTTCATAACTCACCCCTACTGTTTTTGGCACTCTGTGGAAATTGTGTGCCGTGGCAGTCACTGTTAACAGTGAACACCGGAGGGCGCAATTTAACAGCTTTCTTTGAGGCACCGAAATAAAGCACCGAAATTAGAGTTGTGTTTCGGTCTGTGTACTACCGCTGATGTTCACTCCGGTGCCATACTGTAACTGGGTTTTGGTACCCAACCCTATCAGAACTTCACCTAGTCATCATTTTTTATGTTTCTGCTCTCGGAAGAATAAGACACTTCTTCCTTTTCTCCTGCCCTTCCATATCTTTCCCTGCTTTGCTGCTTGGAGCCTCTCTACATTTTTCATTCAAAATAAGAAATCATGGATATTTTTATTTTAATGGATTTGGTTAGCTGGTCTCTCAATAAAATCTTTGGAACAAAGTTTTTTCTGCTTCCATGGGAGGACATGTCAAAGGTGGGACCTTTGTTCTTGTCTGTTCTGGATTATGTCTGGACTTCGATCACTGGGTTCTACAGATGGCTGGGTGGTCTCCTGGTGTTCTACAAATCAGCATTGGTGGCTGTTCATCTCCTGGCTGACTGACCAACTGGATGGACGGCTGTATTCTATCAGAACTTGGACATTTTGCCTTGAGCGAGCCTGACTCGGTCTGCAAGCAGTTCTATTGAGGGTCGTGGGCCGGCTGTGGTCCCTGGACTTTGCTGGCCAGATGGAATTGATCTTGGAGGAAGCTGATAGTACGGCTCGACAGAATTTTGTCCACACCATTTTTTTGCCTGATTGGGATCGCCACCTTGAGAGTACCAGCAGAAACTCTAAAGCAGATGGAAAATTGTTGTCATCTGCTTGTCTTTTCTGTTCCCAAAACAACTGATTACAGAATCTGTATGTCCCTGACAACGGCCTTGGATCTGTTGACTAAATTCTTCCTAGCTGGATGTGTTGACAAGACTCTGCCCCCTCCCTCCCCCATCTAATTCTGTTTCCCAGAGCAGGCTGAAAGCTGCACAGAAATGAACAGTTTCCATCAATATTTCTGAACAATGGCTGCACTGGTTTTGGGGACTGGATTCTTCGGGGCCCCTTAAATGGTAAATGGTAAATGGTAA